CGTGTGCCTGGGAACTGTTTTTGTTTTGTCCATAATGACGAGTAGAAATTGGTACCGAACTGTTAAACGTTCCTGGGATTTGTATATTCATTGGGCCAGCAATGAAACTTGCTGGACTATCTCTTTGGTTCTTTCGGTAAAGTCACGTAGGTATCAAATAAGATAAATCACGACGTTTCGGGCGCAACACAAGCGCCCGTCATCAGGTGATGACGGATGCTTGTGTTGCGCCCGAAACGTCGATTTTATTTTATTTTCTACCTACGTGACTTTACCGAAAGAACCAAAGAGATGGACTCCTGCAGTCACGAAAGCTTCAAATCAAGATTGCTGGACTATGTATGATACGTAATACGGGGCGGGGGGGGGGGGGTCGCGTACATATAAATGTGTGGCTAAACCCTCCACCACCCGACACAGCCAATTAGGAAGGTTAGTAATTTTGTCAGTTTAACACGAGTTAATGAGTTAATGATGACGTCACCCTGCTGCTGCTCTATATAAGAACGGGAGACACAGCAGAGCCTCACCATTCTGGCGAATTGCCCGATGATGCTGGATGCAATTACCAGCGAAACGTCGTACTCAAATTGTAAATGTTGTGGCTTCAACACACCGGTGGGCTAAAGCAGTGAACTCTTTGTCTTTGTCAACGTGACACATTTTTACTGATTGGCCGTGTCGGGTGGTGGAGGGTTACGACACATTTATAAATAACGCGATCTAAACCCAAAAACGTTGATTATGAGTAGTAATTTTGTGTTGGACAGTGGGTTTACTCTTGTTTACGTGACAAACCTTGCTAATTGGATGTGTCGGGTGGTGGTGGGTTTAACGACACATTTATATTAACGCGATATAACCCCCAAAAATCGCCCTTTATTATGGATAATATTGGTCGCGAAAGCCTACGTGTTAAACTAGATACGCTGACACATGCAATATCAATGATCTCAAAACGCCTGTTGTTGTTACCTTGCGACTCTGCCCGTGCCCCATGTATTGGGATCTTTCCGCCTCACTGGCCAGAATTTTGGCAAGGACATTCCACCACCACCATCACTTTCCACTCAACCAACTGATGAGCACAGAATACGATGTTTCTTGAGCTATAACTCAACAGCAAACCGTCGCAATACAAATTAACGATTCGCAATTGAACTGACCCAACAATCCGTTCATTTGACACAATGCGCCTGTTTCACGTGTCCGTCCATCCACGTGAACAATTTTATTTTACACATTCCATCGGTCACACTGCATTCTGGTAGTGCGTCATTGCAGCAGCATCGCTCCAACACAAACTCTGGGGGCCTCTTTACGACATTCAGTGGTATCATCAGCAGAGTCAGGCTTGCTTGAATCTAAGAGATTGCCAGAGTAGTGGCTCAACTCGATCTTCACTAATCACACACGATGATGATGATGATGATATCGAGGCAGCGTATAATCTTACTGGGGCCTGAACTCTGGGCCTCACTGCTTGGAGATTGGCAAATCTGATTTTAAAAAATGTTACCCTTCTATCTGGTAACAATACTGACACTTTTTTTACAAGGAGCCATGTTTGCATAAACCACAATACCTGCAGTCATAATGCAAACAAAAAACATAACTATGATAATGTGCACTGTCCTTGAAGTTGATTGGTCCACACCCGAGACAGCTTTCCTTAGAGCCTAGTCTCACATGGGTTGGACCAGATGACGCCAAAAGGCGCACAACTCAAAGACAATGCACCATCAGAGTATGAGAGCTCGGGGTAAGCATTTACACCATTGGAACCTCATTTGCCAGTAAAAAATATGATAATTGGTTTTTTACCCTTCTATCTGGCAACAAGACTGACACCTTTTTTGTTACACGGAGTCATGTTTGCATAGACCACAATACCTGCAGTCATAATGTAAACAAATCTACCCACTTGCGCTATTACACAACGAATACCTTGAACGCTAATGACATCATGAAGACACTCCTGTTGATAACACCTCCTACACAAGTCATGCGCTAAGGACCAGACACGCTTGAACATTTGCATTGCTGCTACGCGGCGAACTGTGTGACCAGCGGCCGAGATGTGCCCAGAATATGGCGGTATCTTCCATACCGCCAAACAGTTGTGTGTGTGTGTGTAAGAGAGAGAGGGTCAGTGATGGATGGTGAGATGGGTGGTGTGCCAGAGTGTGTGCATGTCTGTGTGTCTATGTGGGGAGCGGTCGTGTGAAGCGGTTAGCGCACTGCGCCTAGGAACCCCGAGTTCAATTCGTGGGTTTATGACGATTATCAAAACCGGTCGAATGAGTGCCTGGTTCGGTGTGTAAACATCGCTACTGGGGAGACAAAGGCGGCCTGGTTTGGCGTTGGTCACCCACCCCCTCGTGTGCCGTGCCGGCCTTCATAGGTGCTCGCTAACAGCACTTGCCGCAACGGATGTGTAAAGTTCTACACGGGGGATCTTTGTCTTTGTGTCTGTGCGGGGAGCGGTAGTGTGAGTAGTCAGCGCACTTGTGGGGTTGTTGACGATTATCTGAACCGGTCCTGGACCTCCCCATAGGTCGACTCAGCCTCAAACGAGTACCCTGGTGCGGTGTGTAAACATCGCCACTGGGGAGAACAAAGGCGGCCGGGCGTAGGTGTTGGCCACACCCGCCGCCTTGCCGGCCTCAATGTGTGCTCGGGCACTTTCCCCCCCAACAGCTTGCCAAAGGCTCTACGGGGTGGGGGGGTGGGGGTCTTTGTCTCTAATGCGTGACAGCGTGAGTGGCAGTAGGCACGGGCTGGAGGGGGTGGACAGGTTTCAACCTGCTGAGCCTCTTTGCTTTGACGTCTCCGCCTGCTCGAATATTGACCCCGCCGTTGGAACGGCAATATCCGACGGGGCTTGAAACACCAACGCGATGTCCACCACGACAAGAACTTGCCACCAATCGTCGTTGTTGCGGGTGGGGGGGTGGGTGGGATGATAAGTCTCGTACGGGGGGGTGGGATGATAAGTCTTGTACGGGGGGGTGGGTGGGATGATAAGTCTTGTACGGGGGGGTGGGTGGGATGATAAGTCTTGTACGGGGGGGTGGGGGGGTGGGTGGGATGATAAGTCTCGTACGGGGGGGTGGGTGGGATGATAAGTCTTGTACGGGGGGGTGGGGGGGTGGGTGGGATGATAAGTCTTGTACGGGGGGGTGGGGGGGTGGGTGGGATGATAAGTCTGGTACGGGGGGGTGGGGGGGTGGGTGGGGATGATAAGTCTCGTACGGGGGGGTGGGTGGGATGATAAGTCTTGTACGGGGGGGTGGGGGTGGGTGGGATGATACGTCTTGTACGGGGGGGTGGGGGGGTGGGTGGGATGATAAGTCTTGTACGGGGGGGTGGGGGGGTGGGTGGGATGATAAGTCTCGTACGGGGGGGTGGGGGGGTGGGTGGGATGATAAGTCTCGTACGGGGGGGTGGGGGGGGGTAATTGAAATGCTTCGCGCCCGCAGGGCCACGGCAAAGTTTGTCACGAAAATAAACTCGCTCGAGAAACTTCCCCCCCCCACCACCACCATCACCACCCCGGGGCTGTCGATGCTAAGTTTAGCTTCGGCCACAGCACACCGACACACAAAGGCAAAGATCCCCCGTGTAGCCTCCAACGGGCTGTCGGGGGCAAGTGCTGCTAGCGTAGCAGCACCTTATGAAGGCGCGGAACGGACAGCCCCACGCCCGAACGCCTTTGTCTCCCCTGTGGCGATGTTTACACACCGCACCAGGTACTCATTTGAGGCTGAGTCGATCTAGGGGAGGCCCAAGACCGGTTAAGATAATCGTCGCTGGTGTTGGCCGTGAGCTGGAATCGAACTCAGATCGCCGGGTTCGCAGCGCAGCGCGCTAACCACTACACCACCGCTCCCCACGTGATGCATTTGCATGACATACGCATGATGGACAAAATTCATGACACACACGCACACGCAAATGCCCCACATCATTCATGATTCACATATGTGCGGTAGATGAACACACACATAGGTATAAATTATATGGGCATGGCACACGTATGCATGGCAAACATTCGTGCGTGACATACATGGCATATACACACGTATGACACACGTATGTTCATATCCCACACGTGAAAACAGAAATTATGCACGTGCATGATATGTGACGCACACATGTATTAGAGTCAATGCGCACATGCGTATGACGCACATGACAAATATACGTGAATTACAAGCACATGCAACATACAACCTGCGTGACCTGTTGATATTACACACGTGTAAATCATGTATTACACACACGACGAAACGTATGAATGATATGACACACACGTTTATGTTGCGCACAAACGCGAACTACATGCATGGCAAATATCCCCCGTATATCCTTAACAGACTGTAGGGGCAAGTGCTGTTAGCGAGCACCTATGAAGGCCGGAACGGTACACGAGGGGGTGGGTGGCCAACACCACGCCCGACCGCCTTTGTCTCCCTAGCGGCGATGTTTACACACCGCACCAGGTACTCATTTGAGGCTGAGTCGACCTAGGGGAGGCCCAGGACCGGTTCACATAATCGTCACTGGTGTTGGCCGTGAGCGGGAATCGAACCCGGGTCGCCAGGTTCGTAGTGCAGCGCGCTAACCACTACGCACATGCACACAAACACGCGCATCACGTGCACACGTGTGGGCGCACGCATGACGCACGCGTGACACACAACATGCGTGACGCACCTACATCGACGCGTGACACAAACGCACGCCATAACACACGCACACACGGTTCACGACACGCGCATGGCACTAACACACTCGACACGCAGACCCGCGCAACATGACACGAACACACATGACGCACGCGTGATACACACACACGGACGCATGGCACGCAAGCACACGACACATCGGCACTCAACACACGCACGTGCCCACACAGGTGCAATCGTCACAGCGAGTTAGACGATCGATCGATCGATCCTTGCTTGGCGTTTGGCTTGACCGGTGCGTGAACTCACCACGGCGGAACCCGCCAGGGCGGCTGTGAACACGCGAATCACCATCGTTGCGTTCCTCCTCCTCCTCTCTCTCTCTTCCTTCTCTCCTCGTCCGCACCTCCTGGCCCAGCCAACGTCTCTCTATCTCCCTCTCTCTCTCTCTGCTGCCTGATTTTCTGTCTCAGGGTGCCAGTTGTCCCCAGAGTTGTACGTGTCTCCTCTGGGTTGTCAGTGTCTCTCACTGTGCGTCTGTGTGTCGTGGGTAGATTTGTGGGGGGGGGGGGGGGCTGGCGAGGTTGACGGGCGGGCGGGAGAGAAGGGGTGGGTGGCCGATGGTTTTTGCTGCTCTCTTGGCAAGGACCACTCAGAGGAGGAGGAGAGGCTGGTGGTGCTGGTGGTGCTTGTCCCACGGAAGGCTAAATAAAGGACCTGGACTAAATCGATTCCGGCAGCAACTGGAAGAGGGGTGATTAGATTCCGTCTGCCGCAGCAGTTTATTTTAGAAAGTTCAGCGACAATTGGACATTTGTGGTTCTGTGTTCAGAGATACAGGCGTTTAATACCGTGTGTGTGTGTGTGTTCTATGTTTACCTGGTGCGATGTGTAAATGTCGCCACTGGGGAGACAAAGGCGGCCGGGCGTGGTGCTGGCCGCCCACCCCTTCGTGTGCCGTGTCAGCTATCATAGGTGCTGCTCGCTAACAGCACGTGCCCCAACAGTCTGCCAAGACGCTAAACGGGGGTCACGTGGAAAGAGACCCTCATTAAAGATGCCGTATGGCCCACAGCATCGTTAGTGAACGTCATTCACACATGAATGCCTGAGTGAACAATTAACTTAAGGACCATACACTTAGAGTATACGGTTTATTGACTTAAATCTGTAAATAATGAGAGAATAATGTGTAAGTAACCCCCCCCCCCCCCCCAGCGTGACATTTTTTTCTTATATGATGGGATTCGTTTCGTCATTTACAGAGTTGAGCGTTGACGGCTTTCATGGGCCCCGTCGTGTGGATGTGGGAACTACAGACAGTTCCCAGAGGCAAAGTTTGCAGCAGCGAGCACTGGTGGCTACACCGTGCTGATGAGTCCTAAGTAGAACAACACCATTACACAGTTGTCTATTGCTGCTGCTGCTGTTGTTGTTGCAGTCAGTCGGTCACATTCTCCACAATGTATTTGTGCTGGTGACCTATATATATATCATTAAATTTCGATTTAAAGCTTTCGTGACTGCAGGGATTCATCTTCTTGGTTCTTTCAGTAAAGTCACGTAGAAGGGAAATAATAAAATAATAAAAATAAAACATAATAAAATTTTTCTCACGACATTTCGGCCACAACGCAATCAGCCGTCCCCAGATGAAGAACAGGTCTGTCGGAAAGACAGCGTCTTTTATTATTATATTTAATTATTTCCCTTCTACGTGACTTTACCGAAAGAACCAAGAAGATATATACCATTAGTTCACTAAAATAGAGACTTTATGGACACCCTGTACAAGAGGACCACAATGCACTTGTGCAGGAAGTGCTGGGTGCTTGCACAGATGGCTGTGTGTTTGACACATTTTGGTTGTCTCATTTGAAACCTGAAGTCCATCGCTAACACCGAGACTCATCGTAACCAGGGGGCAGCGGAGGACATGCATTCTTCAGACCAAAGCTTCCAGGGCTGCAGACGTCAGCTCAGACCACAACCAACAACGGAGTTGTTACGGGAGAGCGAAGCGAGGCTGAGTAAGAAAAGCAGAGGGACACGTGGCTGGCAACTTTGCAGAAAGAGCGAAAGATCAGAGGTGGAGCAACAATTGTCGGTGAAAAAAAATCGTAATTGCAGCAATCCCGAGATGGGCAGGCATGTACAATTTGGGAAGGCTTGCGGTAATTGCAGTTGAGGCAAAAGCAGAATTTCGAGGTCCCGAATTAAGGAAAAATGGGTATAATTGGCTAAGTGCTTAAACTGAAGGGGCCACATGAAGGGTCGCAGAGAGGGTGCCAGGGAAGCGAAGCTGACGCTGCTTGGCGATGAAGGAGCTCACAGCAAGGTGATCGCAGAGGATCAACCGACTGAATGACAGAAACAAGGCGAGGAGATGGCAAATGGAAACGGTAAGAGGGACATAGACCACAATACTACATCAGTGTCCGTGCCATAGTTAACACGCACACACACAAAAATATGTTCGTGTCATTTCTTCACTTTTGTTAGGGTCACTTTTCTTACATAACCGTCAGAAATTATTCATTTCAATCAACTCGGGAAAAAAAATTGCCACTCATTAAAAGTGGCCATATGGATCACACGCACTTTTGGGAACGAGTGGCAAAATTACGAGGGTCTGGAGCATTAAACCGGCCACTCGGGGACGAGGACACATGGTGGTTACAGACGGCACCAGAGGACACGCGTGGCTCGTCGAAGGTTGAATCGTACAATGTGGTGGTGGACGTTATAACTAATACCGTACGGGAATAATATGTCATGATAAAAAAAAATTTTGATATCCCATATGCTCAGTCAGGCACTGGAACCCAACCCATGTTTCCCATGTTTCATGTCTGTTTTATCTCACCAGGTAAGGCCCACTGAGCTACAGGAGTTAATCGATTAATACTGGTTGGAACCTCCTGGTTACACCAGCCCACAGGGGATTATTGTGTCCGTCCGTCCGTCCGTCGTGAAGGGAGAGGCTGGGTGGGGAGGGGCTGGGTGGGGAGGGGCTGGGTGGGGAGGGGAGGGTGGGGAGGGGCTGGGTGGGGAGGGTGGGGCTGGGTGGGGAGGGGCTGGGTGGGGAGGGGCTGGGTGGGGAGGGGCTGGGTGGGGAGGGGCTGGTCACCCCGTGGTGCCCTTATAAAACTCAACGTTTAACCTACTCACGCCGGCTTGTGCCCGCCCTCACAGTCGGGCATATTTGCAGAATACACCACGCCGCTGTTGACCCTGGCCATTGACCGAGCAACCCAACGTTCCTACCAGCTCCCTCCGCAGGAATGTGTACATCTGGCCGCTTTCAGGGGGGAGGGGTAATAATAGTCACTAATGATCATTAGTGATTATTATTAGTGCTCATTTTTGCACATTCTTGCATTACATTACGTTTTTAGGTGTCGTTATGTTTTCGTGTGTGTTTTAAACATGTGTTTACTATGTGAAAATGGCGTAACTAAACATACAAATAGACGAAATTTAATATCGTACTTTTAAAAGTTACTGTATTTTGTCCACGCTCAACTGACGTTGGCTGTAATTGACCACGGCCCCTTACGTTATGGCAAGCTTCGGGGCCACTTTCTGGAGTCGTGGAGTTTTTCCATTACTAGCACGGTACATTTCATAAAAGCGTGATTTTAAACAAGTTTTTAAAACTATTATTTATTCAGAAGCGACCTGGCCACAAATGCTAGCTCAGCAGAGAGGTTTAATATATCTCTCTGGCCCTCCATGAACTTTTCTGCGTTTAGTTCGTTGTCCTTCCCCAGCTACCTCCAGTTCATCACGGTTGGCTACGTACGGTGCTAAAGACGTTACACGTACCTCCGTGCATAAATCAGGGGTGGGGAACTTTTTTTCTGCCAAGGGCCATTTGGATATTTATAATAACATTCGCGGGCCATACAAAATTATCAACTTAAAAATTAGCACCGTTTATATTTGGTCAAACATTTAATTAACTCACCCCTAATGCGATGGCTGGAACTGCTTCTCTTTGGCGAGGCGTGTGATGTTAGCTGGTATTGATGATGTTGCTGCTACTCGCAACTGCTTTTCCAGGTTTGCTCCTAGATTTAGTGAATTTCGAGTCCCACCTGCGGTTGCCTTGGCAGGGCCAGACTCAAATGATTTCGCGGACCTTATACGGCCCGCGGGCCGGACGTTCCCGACCCCTGTTCTAAAGGAATGCGGACACCAAAGACCGTGATAAACCAGTTGACAACATCGTTTAATAATTCGCCTGTCTTCTCATTTGAGGACGACGAAAGACGACAGAGTGTTTGCATACAGCAGGTAAAGCGTGACTAGTCCCACAGTACGGAGCGTTTGTAACACAAAGACTCAAACGCAAAACATCGATGGGTGCACAATAGTTACCGGGCCGTCGTTTCATAAGCGTTGCCATGTAAACACAATAAAATAATTCTCACGACGTTTCGGCCACAACGCAAGCAGCCGTCCTCAGGTGAAAACCAGGTCTGTCGAGGCGACAGAGTCTGAATGTCTCATTCAGACTCTGTCGCCTCGACAGACCTGGTTTTATTTTTATTATTTTATTACTTCCCTTCTACGTGACTTTACCGAAAGAACCAAGAAGATGAATCCCTGCAGTCACGAAAGCTTTAAATCGAAATGTAAACACAATTTAAAGATTTGCTTGTGATACCACAACCAACTATATATATTATTTTACGAGGTAAGGCCCACAAGCTATATCGTAGCTCTTTGTCAGAAGCGACCTGGCCACAATTGATAGTTCAACGCAGATGGCTTGTCATCACGTGGGGATATCCAGCAGCAGCCACCACATACTCGAAACGCGCATTTCTGAATGTGGAGGGGGGGGGGGAACCAGAGGACCCGGAGAAACATCGACGCGACCACAGGGAGAGAGACACGCAAACTCCAAATAATACAACAGGCGTCAGGGTCGGGATCGAACCCACGACCTCGCGTGTACCGGGCGAGGGAGTTAACATCTCCTAGCCACCTTACGACAATGTGTTTTTGCCACACTGCCCCTTTCATGCCTACCGCACGCAACCATGAAGCCTGTTTAGCAATCTGCTTGTGCGTGGCAATCACTGATCCAAGTATTATCCAGGCTGAGACCTGCTTAGCTTCTGAGATGTGATGACGTGCTATAGAAGAGAAAAGATTGGTAATCACATTTGGCACTGCACATTTAACACTTTCCTGCAGAGGGAGCTGGTAGGAACGTTGGGTTGCTCGGTCAATGGCCAGGGTCAACGGCGGCGTGGTGTATTCCGCAAATATGGCCGACTGTGAGGGCGGGCACAAGCCGGCGTGAGTAGGTTAAACGTTGAGTTTTATAAGGGCACCACGGGGTGACCAGCCCCTCCCCACCCAGCCCCACCCCTCCCACCCCCCAACCAGCCCCACCCTCCCCACCAAGCCCCTCCCCACCCTCCCCACCCAGCCTCTCCCCACCCAGCCCCACCCTCCCCACCCAGCCCCTCCCCACCCAGCCCCACCCTCCCCACCCAGCCCCTCCCCACCCTCCCCACCCAGCCCCTCCCCATCCTCCCTCCCCACCCAGCCC